TCTGTATCCGTCCACTGATTCATGCAGGCTAGGCTAACAAAGCACAAACAAGCTGTTTTTCTTATGATCAGTAAAATGTACTTGGTTCCCTGTCTAGCACTTACCAACTTTCTTTGATAAGTCTCCAGTGGTTGCTTGTTGCTACGGCTAACTTTGGACAATACCCTAGTTTCTAACTTTCTATACTCAATTAGATAACTACAGGCCACTTATGGTTGCCTGGCCTTGTCTGTCAACAGTCATTCTTCAGTACGGTTCGGCCTAAGATTGTGAACTTTCTTGCTTTATCACTGCCAAAGTGCCAAGTTCTTTGCATCTGCTAACCAGCCTCGCGCTTGTTTTCTATTACTCACATTCATCCTTGCAGTTATTTTGTCAGGCTATTTACCTTTCAGCTATACCCTCCACCGGAAAAAGTCATCTTGTGTACTGATGGAGAGTGATGCATATCAGTTGAATAGCATTTTGAATTCCATACATCACAGTCAATATTTGTTGCACTGCCCAAGTCTCTGGTTTAGGCAAGACAGTTTTCAGTAACAGAGCCAGTTTTCTAGATGTTCTCGTCTAGAAAAATAACATTTCAGTATCCTAAACGGCGCCATTCTCTTGTACTGACCTTGACTGTCATGTCTCAACAAGCAGCGGAAGCTGTATAGGACTACAAATGGCGTGAGTAGAAATTAATTTACTATTAGTGCAATCTTAGTTCATAACCGTGACATTTATTATGGATTGGAGGGATCGGAGGGAGTAGCTACTTCAGTGATTCGTACAAATGGTGAGCGTTAATAGAAATTTACAATGCTGTGAGGGATGCAGCCCGCTCGATCTTGCACTGGAACTACTTGGTATTGGGGACGGCATTGCCGCGAAACCAGACCTTGGTCCTTGCTGTCTATTGTATTATTATTAGTACTTTGCAGAAAGGTAAAACTATGATATGGTTACACAGCACGCACTACCTTGCACTACTTACTTGGCACCGGCGACGGCATTGCCGCGAAACGAGACCTTGGTCCTGCTGTGTCTTTCCCCGTCTATTGTATTGGCACTTTGCAGAAAGGTTTAACAGCGCCGTGCCAGTATTTTATGGTTACATTGGTACGTGTCACAGCTTTTGGACGTGAGAGACAGGAGTAGTGGGTGGGTACATATGTAGGAATACATATATAACTCTGTGAACATCATGATTACACGTCCGAGAAACACTAGCGTGGTCAGTCGTCGCCGGCTGAGGAAGCTGCGGCGAAAGATGGCCCTGGTCCTACTCTATATTCTCCCCTAATGTGCTTTGCAGAAAGGTTTAACTATGCTAGGTTACAAAAACGTCTTGCATTATGGGACAGAAGGAGTAGTATTTTATGATTAAAATTATGGGGGAGAGGGATATTAAGGAGCAATCAACTAGGTACTATAGTCCAAAGACATGCATATATAACAGTGTGGAAGGCGAATGGGCTCAGAGCAAACCAGATGAGACCAAGACCCGCGTTAAAACACCATTAAGAACCGGAGCCGAGGCTGAGCAGTAAACGGCCGGCGAGCCGCGAAGGGGGTTCGAGGATGAGAGCTGAGAAATGGCTCAACACCTTTGTCCGCTTCATTGTCTTGCTAGAGAGGGCGGGTAACGGAATCGGCACCCTAGCATTCATCTGGGCGACGGTGGTCGTGCTCGGCGGCTTCTCAACCTACCTGGGCGCTGATTTCTGGGTCGCCACTTTGATAGTCTTCCTCGAGGGTTTCAGGTACGTACCTACTACCCCTTCGTTTTTGTGGAAATGTTATACCTCTAGTACATATATGCTACAACCAGGCGTAGTTACACACAAGTCTCATAGTATATATATACCCACCGTTTTGAGACTTAAAAAGGTGAATTTTGGTCATTTCAAAAATTTCAGTAAAATTTGACATAAATTTGAATCAGAGGAAAAGTATAGCAGCCCAACAACCTCAGGAGTAAGACCTTGGATAAGGAACGGAGAAGCAACAGAGAAAGAACTGCCCTGTCCATCAGTCCAACATAACGCTCACTGCCGCAGTCGTCAAGCCCCATGTTGTGGTCGGAGAAGCAACTGGATGGGGGTGGAGGAGGTGCGAGGCGCCCCACGACGGAAGCTGTGCGTCCACGCGCTCGCGAGCAGGCGGGAGGCGCCAGTCAACGTGGCAGCTTAGCCGGCGGAGGAGCTCGTCTGCGTTGTGCCCTCTGCACAGCGGCGGCACACACGGAAAGACCGGGAGGAAATGAGAAGTTTAGGATTAGGGAGTTGAGTTTTTGTCTCAGCCCAACCATAATAGGAACCTAAGTTCAAATTGCGCCAATTTATTTTACCGAAAGAGACATATTCAGGGGCCAGGCGAGATGGACGAAATTTGTGTTCTTTTTCCGGCCAAAAATCAAAATCTTCGAGCTTTATTTCTGATTTTCAGATCACTTGCTCTTTTTGGATTGTTTTTCATTTTCTTGTAAGCCAAAAGTCAAGGACAACTTCCATGCTACATTATTCCTTTTCCACGATGGATGCACATAGCCATGTGTCGCTCCCCTCCGCCTCCATTTTTTCTCCTCTTTGCTACTCCCTCAGTCACATCCATTTCTCTGACAAGTATTTTCGAACGGAAGGAGTATTTTTTTTCCTCTCGCTACCCATCATCGACTATACCCTGCTGCCCTCGGTGATGTTGCCCCTGCCCTGCCTCTCCACCAAGTGAGCCTAGGTCGCCACTACCATCAATTGATGGAGAGGCCGAGGGTTATTCTTCCTTTAGGAAAAAAATGACACCCCTGCCAGGTTGCATGTGAGCTCAAGCTCATCTCGAAGAGTGGGAACACGGAAGACCAACAGAGGGGGCATGGAAGAGCGGGGGTGTAAATTAAGTGTTCTATTTCAACTACTTAGGTGATCTTTTACATCAATAATTATTTGCTTGTTACTAGCTATGGCCTTTCTTGTCTTACCCTCGAGTGACAACAAACTTAATGCACCAACCCTTGCGGCCAATTCTTTTCGTATTTATGGGTGGCTGCCAAAATAAGGGCATTACTCACCGATCCCCTAAAAATAGTGGTCGATCCGGCGAAGTAAACCCTTATTGGAGTATATTTACTTCACTAGGATTTGGTCGGACCTAGCCGATCCCCTATATATAGCGGAGTAATTTTTTGTTTTTTTTTTCTAACTTTGCAATTCTAGTATACATTGCAACTACATATTAGCACGCATATAGACTAAAAATAATATGAATGTTCAAGCAAATCACGATTATAGTTTACACACCGAATTTGAAGTTTACAAACCAATGATGCTCAATAAGATCTTGTAGTTAAGCATGAACTTGGCGGTTCTAGATCTTGCTATGCTCTTCAAGGAATGCGAGGATCATGTTCGTATCATACTCTGACTCGATCGGAGTCCCGTTGGTGATGTACCGAAAGTTCTCAAGCATATCCCTCTCGTCTTCCATGATCATAATATGCAATATGATGCAACAAGTCATGATCTGCCATAGAACATTGGAGCTCCATTACTCAGCAGGGCCACAAACAATTGCAAAGCGCTTCGGAAGCACATCAAAGGCTCTCTCCACATCTTTCCTGGCAGCTTGACATTTGGCAAAGTGAATGTTTTTCTTACCTTTCAGACACGGAATTGTTTTGACTGATGTAGCCCATGATGGATAGATGCCATCCGCAAGTTAGTAACCCATCGAGTAGTTGTGCCCATTGACAGATAAGCATCTCCTATAACAAGCCTAGAAAACAATGATGATCTAGAGAGCACATTCAAGTCATTGTGCGAGCCAGGCAAACCAAAGAATGAATGGCATATCCAAAGATCCTTCGTTGCAACTTCCTCAAGAATAATCGTTAGATCGTTGCACTGGCTTTTGTACTAACTCTTCCACCCTGCAGGACAATTCTTGCATGTCTAGTGCATACAGTAAAGTGATCCAAGGATCCCTGGCCATCCTCTTGTCTCATTCCCCGTCATCAGCCTCTGGGTGTCTTCCTCGATGGGTGCTCTCAAGTACTCATGTCCAAAATTACCGATCACTACTTTAGTAAACCTTCGAAAAGCCTCCAAGATTGTGTCTTCACCAGTGCGTACATAGTCGTCAATGGCATCAGCTGAACACCCCTATGACAAGACTCGAACAGCCGCAATCCACTTCATCAGTGGGCTTGCACTTATCTCTCCACATGCATTTGTCCAGAGCTTGAACCAGTCATCATACCTCTCAACGGCTTTGCAATGGTTAGAAGAAGACTTGTGTGCATCCGAAAGCGCGGGTGGAAGTACTTCTCCGAATAGGTTGGCTTTGGATCAAAGTAGTCTCTCATGATCTTGGCATGGCCCTTCGCTCTATCATGGTTGATGTGTATGTGACACCCTGGTTCAGAGAAACAGAGGCCCCCGTGTGCTAGCCCAGAGAACTATGTCTTCTAGAACACTACTATAGCTTGGTATAGATATACCACAATTTAATAGAGTACTCAAATGGTACATGAAGTTTAAGATACAATACTCCTGCTTAGCAAGGTAATACAATAAGAGCTGTAGTGCTCGGTTATTGTCCATGATCTAGTGGCTGGGGACCTTAGAGCTTAAAACCTACATATACTGACCCTTGTGGGCAGCGCCCTGGGCTGGCTAATGAAACACTAGCGGTGGAGATGGTAAGACACAGCGGAAGGCGGGACACTGGTGGGACTCCAATCCAAAGGGACACTTGTGGGACGCAATCGAACTCGCACACTCGGCATCCTCATACGGTGTTTGTCCTGCATCTGGCATGATAAGTCAGGTGAGTACTTTGAATGTACTCGCAAACTCTCAAACAAACCAAAAGCAAGAAAGAACAAGGTAAACAAGCATAACAACAAGGTAATGATTTAAAGGAAAGACACTAGCATAAATATTGCATAAGCTTAGTCTACGCGTTTAACGTCCGATGGACTTTTCCCGGGCATGATCCTCAATCATCCGGCTTGCCAAAGTATATTACATGTCTAATAACTTAACAACACTCAGAAAATGAATTAGGGTGCTTGGTCAAATAATGTGACTTAATGTGAATGGTGTCCCACTGCAGGGGACCCGGCTATTTGAATAGATTCAACACACACACACTTTGCAGCGGTTGTACATTTTACCCACACCATAGACTATTAGTCTAACAAATCTCACTCGTAGCATGGCCTTCTTACCGTGTCTCCAACCTACTGCAGGCTTGCCCTGGT